TGTCTCCGTTTTTTTGTCTTTTTCCATCTCTGCCCTCTCTCTGTGTATCCTAATTCATTCATTTTCTTTTTCCTTCTCTCCACCCTCATACCCTGACTTGTTTTTTAAATTGTGGTAAAATACACTTAACAACAGATGTACCATCCTAACCATTTTTACGTGTACGGTCAGTAGCATTAAGCACATTCATATTGTTGTGCATCCATCACCTCCATCCCTTCACAGAACTCTCCATCCCGCAAAACTGAAGATGGAATATTCTCCAGCAAAAATCCACATTTTGTTTATTTATCCCTTCATCCTGTGAGGGACCCTTGGGTCGTTTCCGCTCATCTCCTAAATTTTTCTCCTTCTCTCATCCACAGTTAGATAGAGGATGCCCACTGCTTACTTGCACGTTTTACAGGCAGTCGCCGAGAAAGAAAGGAGAGGCTGAGTTGGTTGTCTCCTCTCTGTCCCGGCCGCTTCTGCCTCCCCTCTTGCCTGGCCGCCTTCGCTTCTCTCAGCTTCTCCTGTGAGGAAGCTTCCGTGACCCCGATGGTCGGGACCACTCTGTCCTGCTCTCCGAGTTCCTTTCTGACACCCAGCGTGGCCCATGTCGTTCTCAGTTCTCTCACACTTTCCTTGTTTCTCTCCCCCTCAACTTTTCCTTTCTGTCTCCTGGCGCCCGGCCCAAGTGGGGTCTCCCCACAGGCAGGTTGGAGAAATGAAAGTACCCTAGGACTGAAGAGGCTCTGGCCCAAAACTTGGCCCCTGTGGCTGTCGTGGCCAGAGGAGGCTTCACTGGGTCCTCCTCTGCGCTCTTGGGCCACTTGCCTCTGTTCTGGGTGCGAGTCATTAAATGTGGCCTGCCCTTGAGACGACCCCAAAGCCAGAAAAGTCACCCATGTGCAGAGATGCCCAGTAGTCCTTTTCTCTTCCGTGGGAGGACAGTGCCTTTTGTTCAGTAATATTTACTCCACTTGCCTCACCTCTAATTTAAAAAAGGGAGACATGGGGGCCAGCCCTGTGGCTGAGTGGTTAAGTTCACGTGCTCTGCTTCAGCAGCCCAGGGTCTTGCCAGTTGGGATCCTGGGTCCGGACATGGCACCACTCATCAAGCCATGCCGAGGCGGCGTCCCACATGCCACAACTAGAAGGACCCACAACTAGAATATACAACTATGTCCCGGGGGGCTTTGGGGAGAAGAAGAAAGAAAATAAAAGAAGATTGGCAACAGATGTTAGCTCAGGTGCCAATCTTTTAAAAAAAAATAAAAAGGGAGAGGTGAGCAATCAGTCCCACATTTCCCCTGTAAGCCGACGTGAGCAGCTTTGTAAAGGAGACCACCTGATGCCCTCACATGTCCAAAGGGTGGGTAGAGGGGGTCCCTATTGACTGCCGGCCGAGTCAGGCGTTTCCCATAGTTATCGCACTCCTGCCAGCCGCTCTCTGTGGATTATTCCACGCCCCAAGATTAAGGAACTTGCTCGAGGTCCCAGAGCTGAAATTCAGACCGATGACATCAGCTTGGCTGGCTCTGAAGCCTTGGCAGCATGTCCCCGCTGTTCCTGCCTCTGCCCGCTCCGCATGCACCTCCCTCCCCCAGCACCCCCTCTCTCCTCCTCAGGAGCCAAGGCTGGATGGAGATTGTTACTAGAAAGTGCTGGGGCTGCAAGGGGCCTCTAGGTAGTGGTTCTCCAAACTGAGATGATAGGAATCATCTGGAGAATTAAAAAAACATTTGAATCAATACATGTTGGGGTGGTACTGGGCTACATAAACACTTCCCAGGTGATTCTGATGATCAGCCACTGTTCTGATCCCCCCCTTCATTTTCCAGTTGAGGACACTGGGGACCAGTGAGTTGGGATGCCGTAGCCAAGGCCACGTGGCCCTGTTGCAGCCTGCCTCAGGTCCGTAGTCCAGGCTCTCGGCTCCTTGCTCTGGGGCCTGGGTGTTCTCTCGCACTGCCGCCTCTGCTTGCGAGGCGCTCTTTCATTTCTGCCCGTCTGGACCCAACGAAGGCCTTCACCACAGGTGGTCCTGTCTCCCCAGGCTGGAAACCAGCAAGGAGGAGGCGGAGGCAGGTGGGCTTCCCTCTGGGAGTGGGGCCAGCAGGAGCCGCCCCTTATTGACAGCCCAAGGAGGGCTCTCCTGCGGCTCAGCAGATCCCAGCCTGGGCTTGAGAAATGCAGCGACACAGGGACTTCTATCAAGAGGGAGAGATCTAGACAAGAGGGGAGGCGGGGACAGGTGCCAGGAATGCATGCTCCCATTTAGGGGAGGTGAAGTAAGATACGTAGTATCCTTCACCCTGGTTGGTATCCTAAATTGCACGTGTCTGTTCATCGATTCACTCGACAGCTATTTACTGGGCCCCCACTGCGAGTTAGACGCTTAACAGGCACTGGCGATCTGCTGTGCACGAGGCATACGCAGCCCCGCCTGCACAGACTGAGCGTCTGCAAGGCTGGTCGTATAGAGAACCGGATTCCTTAGCCCCTTGGTGAATCCTTTCATTGTTAGTGAGTGATGGTCATAGACAGGTAATGGCATTTTCTTTTCTCAGCCATTCTCTCGAAGGAGGAAACTAAAGCTTAGAGAGGTTCCCCGTCCTCCCCAGGGTCACGCTGGGAGTGATGGAGCTGAGTTCACCTGGTGCTCTGGTGAGAAAGCCCGCGTGCGGGACTTCCCTGCTGCCCGCCCACTGCCTCGTGCTCCTGCTTCTGGTCAGGCGCAATCAGAGGAAAAAGCCGGGTGCCATACGAAGCTTTGTTTGCTCCCACAGTTGAGCGATTTCAAATAACTTGTGGAACGTAGTGCTCGAGACCCTCTGCCGTCCCCAAGGAAGCCGTCGCCTCTCCCACATCGAGCGCCTTGCCTTTGAGCACGTGGCTGGGCCAGCAGCCGCTTGCCCCTCCTCGCTGGGTCTCGCTTGCTGCTGCTGCACGCTGTGATTACGCCGCCTGAGATCTGTTGAGAAGGGTTAGAATAGAAAACACGGAACCAAAAGGTGCAGGCCCTGAGCCCAGCCCCCGGCGCTCCCCGAATGTGGGCCCAGGCATCTGGCGGCGGCCTGGGGCCAGGCCAGGGCATTTTCACCCGTTTGAGGTAGAAAAAAGGGTAAAGCAGTGAGTTTTTAATAAAGCTAAATTTAATCTAAAGAACAGTTTTATAATCAGAAGTAGTTGTCTTTGCCTTTTTTTAAGCATTAACAGTGTCCTCTCTTTTAGGAAATCTTGATTGTAATAGAAGGTGATAGTGACTATTGCTTATATTGTTGTTGTTTTACATCCTTTCTTAGCAAAATGAAAAGTTGTCAGTGGTGTGCCCGTTTTCTTTGTGGTGTCACTGGCTGGGGAGATCTGAAAGTGACCGGTAATTAGGTTGTTGGTTTTCACGCTCTTCCTCTGGGCCTGGATTCCTGGGGGCAGTTTTCTGCCGTGTGGAATGAGAGGAGGGCCTGAGCCCTTCACCCCATTTCCAAGCAGAGAAGCCCTTCTTAAATTCTGTGTCGTGGTTTTCTGGGAGATTTTGTTTGGAGAGAAAAGGATGTCCCTGCCAGAGCTTGGAGGCTGACCCTCCAGTCTGCGTGTGTGTTGGGGGCGGGGAGTGGAGGAGCAAATGCTGCTGCTTTTGCAGGGCTGAGCCAGCGCTGGTACTAGTGCATCTACTGTGCTAGTCAGGGTTCCTCAGAGAAACAGAGCCAACAGGGGGTGTGTATATGTGTGTGTATGTGAATTGGCTCATGCAGTCGTGGAAGCTGGCAAGTCTGAAGTCTGCAGGGCAGGCTGGCTGGAGACCCAGGGAAGAGTTGATGTTGCAGCTCAAGTGCAAAGACTGTCTGGAGACAGAATTCTTTCTTCCTTGGGTGACATCAGTTTTTTTTCTCTTCATACCTTTGACTGATTAGATGAGGCCCACCCACACCATGGAGGGTAATCTGCTTTACTCACAGTCCACTGATTTAAACATTAATCTCATCTGAAACATACCTTCACAGCCACATCTAGACTACAGTTTGACCATAGTTGGAGCCAGTGTGAGTACGGTGGCCTTGCCAGGTTGACACATAAGATTAATGATCACACTTGCTCAAGTGCCTGGGAGCACAGTAGGATCACAGAGTGGGGAGAGCTGGGTCTCCGCCTCAAGGAGGCAGGACTATACATAGGGAGAAGTTCAGAACAAGACCATTTATATGGAAGCGCTAACTTGTAAAGACAAAGTGGAAAAAGTATTCAGAGGAGATGAAGGGGTGAGGGCTGGAGGACTTGGGGGAAATTTCATGGTACGGCTCAACAGGAGCTGTCAGAGCCTGGACGCCTCCACTAGGTCAGGGTGCAGAAGACTTCAGAGCCAGAATGGGAACCACCGGGTAATAATACTACTCACATTTGACTGGGCCTCTGAGTTTATTAAGAATCTCCACACCCGTTGTTTCATTTGATGCTCGCGACAATCCTGTATTTTTAATTGAAGCTCTCAAGGCCCAGAGAGGTTGAGGGACTCATCAGAGGTCACACAGCTTGCCAGTGGCAGGGCACGTCTTCCTACTCCCGATCCTGCCCCCACTCGTTCCCCCTTTTGCTGGGTATGATGAAGTCCTTGTGAAGGTGTGTCTGTGGGGGAGGGAGGACTCCAGGAGGGAGAGAGTAAATGTTTTCTTTATGAAGAAATGTGAAACTGAAAATGGACTGTTCCCTCTCTCCGGGTCTTCCTTTCCCTCCTTACCATCCTCGTTAACTGCCATTCTCTTCTTGTTTTCTCGCCTTCTCCCAGACACGAATGCAGAGTCTGAATCCAGATCCCAAAGCCCAGTACACGAATGTCTATGGAGCCCTCAAGAAGATCACGCGGACCGAAGGCTTCTGGAGGCCCTTGCGAGGCCTCAACGTGATGGTGGTGGGTGCAGGCCCGGCCCACGCCATGTATTTTGCCTGCTATGAAAACATGAAAAGGACTTTAAATGACGTTTTCCGCCACCAAGGAAACAGCCACCTAGCCAACGGTATTTGAAAGCGTTTGTCTGGAGTTAGAAAGTTCTCTCCTTCAACAGACCCTTCCCCAGGGTTCTCCTCCCTGGGACCCAGCAGCCTGACGCCGCGTCTCCGCCACGCTTGCTTACGAATAAAGAACTCTAGAGTTGTGTGTGCACACACACCAGACACATGCACACACACACACACGCTTCTTTCCATTCCCCTCCTTCGCTTTCTGAAGCCTGGGGAAAATCAGTGACAGAGGTGTTTCAGTTTTCATTGTTGTGTGGGTTTTTCGTTTCGTTCTTTTAAACGTTCAAAGGCAAGTAAAGATCAGATCTAGGAGAAAACCCTGAATAGAAACAAAACTTTTGAATGCTGGATTCAAAAAAAAAAAAAGCTATCTGGACAGCTTCTTTGAGACTATTTAAAAACTGGTTCAACAGGTCTCTACAACGTCAAGATCTAACTAAGCTTGAAAAGGTCAAGAAGTTTTATGGCTGACAAAGGATTTGCTCCAGCGCAGACGGCCTTTCCCACCTTAAGCTTCTGGGGGCCCAGGGCCTCCGCCCGCCCCTCCTCCGTTTGTCTGAGTGGCAGCTCTGCGAGCAAGGGCTGACAGCGTTTCCTTTCTTGTTTGGCGGGAGCAGGCGGGCTGGGGGCTGGAGTTGTGGGCAGCTCTTGCGTAGGCCTGTCTTACCGGCCCGAGCGCTTATTCTCGCCTCTCCTGTGGGTTTGGCTTTTGTTGGTTTTTGTTTGGGTGTGAATGGGGCTATGGATAGCAGTGTAAGGTGTACTTATCTTAACAAAATTGCTTTTCAACAGTGGAGAGGTAGATGTGACCAGCAGCAACGTTTTCCCCTTCTTTCTGTTCTACTCACAACCAAAAAAGTCCCTTCTGTCAGCAGACCTGGTAATGATAACTCCACCTGGCTGGTTTGTAGACATTTGTTTTGCCTTTTAAAAACTGGCCGTTAGTTGTATCTGTTGACGCGGTCACTAAGAGCCAGGCTGTCCCCGAGTCTGTGCCTCGGGCCTTCCTTTTGCTGGAACTCCTTGGTCGCTGCAGCCCTTGAAAGCGGGTTGACGGAACCCAGTTTATGCCGAGTTCCGCCCAGCGCTGTTCCGGCATCATCGTGCTGTGTGCTGTGGTTGCGTGTTGACCTTTCTGGGGATGATGCTAAGCGTGTGGAGGAGGGCGGGGGATAGAAGTGCATTTCTGAAGGCTTCTCCTGGTGTTCCTCCTCCCTCCCACCTTCCTGCCGGCGCCTTAGTTACTGGGCACTGTCAGCTGCAGAGGGAGGAAACCCCAAGCCAAACGCAAAATTGCAGGCCTGAGTCAGGCGTTTGAAGTTCCTGGGGTTTTTCTTTTTTAGTTATTTTATGGAGGCCACATTGGTTTACAACACTGTGTAAATTTCCTGGTTCTTGGAGCCCGGCCCTTCGGATGAGACCCTCGGACGGGGTCGGCCGTCCCCGAGACAGGTCCTAGCTTTGCAGACTTACCTGGGAGTGTACCACGTGCAGAGCTTCCTGGTGTGCTCTTCCCTTGCCTGTTTTCTTAAAAATGCCTGGATTTTATTAAGGAATTTTCTTACAGATTGCTTTTCAGACCTTTTCTCCTCTCGGCCATTTACGTGCAATCCTCCCCTTTGGCCCAGTTTAAGGGCGGAGTGAGTTAATCTGTAGACAGAGTGAAAAATCTAGACGGTGGAAAAAGCCACCACGTGTGGTTTCTGGGTGCCATGCAGTGTGAGCAGGTCTACCCTTTCCCCAGGTTGACTCCCAGAGAGAAAATGAGGCTTCTGCAAGATTGAAGTGTGGGTAATTGTGCCCCTTTTTATCTGGCGTTGCCAGGATCTCTAGAGTTTTGAGCATCAGTGCTCCCCTGGGTGGAGTTGATAGTGAACGTTGCTTCTTAGAAAGCTGTGTCCGGGGTTCCGTCTGATTTGGGTTCCAGGAACTTCCTTGGAATACCTTGTCCCGGAGGGTAATTTTCTGGAGTTTCTTTTGCAGGGATAGCTGGGAGTATGGCCACCCTGCTCCACGATGCAGTAATGAATCCAGCAGAAGGTAATGTTTCATGGTCCCAGGGAGTGGCAGCAGGGGCTGTGCGAACGGGCAGGGAAAGAGGGGCGGGTGGGGAGACAGAAGGTCCGGCAAGGGGCCTGCTGGCTAAGGAGGATGTTTTCCTCCGCATTAGTAAAGGTGTCACGACGGGACGGGAGCCTCTGAGCTTCTGGTACTCCTGTTCTCAGGAACAGCTACTCAGAGTGTGATCCGCGGGCCAGCGGCGTCAGCATCTCCTGAGAGCATGCTAGAAAAGCTTATTCTTAGGCCCCACCCCAGGCCTACTGAATCACAATCTCTGGGGTTGGAGATGAGGAATCTGTTTTAAAAGCTCTCCTGGTGACTCTTTTGCATGCTTTTGCACTAGTCTAACACATACACTCACACATGCACGCACACACACACCACTCCGGCCCTTGTTAACCTTTATCAACCCTAGACAAATTTAGGGGGAGTCTGCCAAAGGCCATTTGTTAGGGCTCAGGTTCAATTTGCTCTTTTAAAAGAAATTTGCAATTATTATGAAAATTCCAAACTCATGCAAAAATAGAGAGAGGAGTATTCTGAACCCCCATCGCTCTACTTCATGAACGAACATTTGGCCGGTTTGTTTTAGCGTCTCCTCCCGCGATTTTTTCTTTTGAATTTTGAGAGCATTCTAAAACAATTCTTAGCTGTGCAGACTTCAGCTCTGTCTGCTTTTTCTATATCCTGGTGTCGTTGGCCAACTTGGGTCTCAGAGGTGAGGGCCTTTTGGACCAGGTACTGGGCGTCCTTTCAGCTGGGTTACCCTCTCTGAGAGGTGGGACCTTTCTCCCCATCTGACGATGGCCCCTTTCCAGAAGGGAGAACCAGAGGTAAAAATTCCAACATTTTAAGCCTGTGTTATGTTAGTCTGTTTTTGTCCTTTAAGGTGAAAATTGTCTACTTGCTGTAGCTGCCCCCTGTGCCCTGGCAGACAGGGGACTTGTCCTGACCTTCAGGGACGGGGCGAAACAGGTTGGGAGGTGGCTGCTTTGGTGCATGTTCAAGGCGACTCAGACAGGGACCTGGTCAGTGACCAGTCAGTAAGCCCATGTCAACTGGGCAAGAATTTGTTTCTGTTTTTTTTTAAGGAGAAAAAAGTGAGGTTCAACTCCCCCCCTTCTTCTTGACATTATATTGATTTAAGGACTTTATTTCTTTAAAAGTAAAGAAAAGCACACTGTGCGTGTTCATTTCACAGTGCATGGGGACGATTAAAACTCTAAGTGTAAGGGACCCCAGTTGGCCCTCGTTTGCCTCAGGTCCTCTGAACGAAGCCCGGTTCTTCATTGGACTTTGTCATTGAACTTGGGCTGACATGATTCTAGTGTCTCTTCCGAGGGTACTGTGACACAGAAGCTAAGAACACTGTCAGAGGTGCAGAGCACTGAGAGTGAGAGATGGGAGCACGCGTCCAGTAGGCAGGTTGGGAGGGAGCAGGGCAGGGAGGCGTGGTTTAGACTGGCGGCGCCTGCGATGCCCAGGCAGCCAGGCTCTGGGGATCGGATCAGTGAGTCTAGTCTGAAGTGGCCCCTGGTTTAGAGCACCTTAGATGAGATGCAGGCAGGAGAAACTTGAGGAAATAGCCCCTTCCTGGCACGGGATCCTGGAGCCCCATGCGTAAACGGGGTTTCCGGAGCTGGCCTCTGGTTTCTCAGGCTGGGGCTGTGTGTGCTAGCTCTCTGGGCCTTGTGACCAGTGTGTCTAAACTTACTTGTTTCTCTTTATGGCTTGGCTTCCCTTTCACTCCGACCCGGGGTGGGGCCAAACCCAACCAACTGGCCCTGACTGCCGCCTGGCCTGCTGCGCCCGCAACAGTCGTGAAGCAGCGCATGCAGATGTACAACTCGCCGCACCGGTCGGCCCTCAGCTGCATCCGGACGGTGTGGAGGACTGAGGGCTGGGGGGCCTTCTACCGGAGTTACAGCACGCAGCTGACCATGAACATTCCCTTCCAGTCCATCCACTTCATCACCTACGAGTTCCTGCAGGAGCAGGTCAACCCTCACCGGGTCTACAACCCGCAGTCCCACATCATCTCAGGTGGGCTGGCCGGGGCCCTTGCCGCGGCCGCCACCACCCCGCTGGACGTCTGTAAGACCCTCCTCAACACTCAGGAGAACATGGCCCTCAACCTGGCCAACATCAGCGGCCGGCTGTCGGGCATGGCCAACGCTTTCCGCACGGTGTACCGGCTCAACGGCCTGCCCGGCTACTTCAAAGGCATGCGAGCGCGTGTCATCCACCAGATGCCCTCCACGGCCATCTCCTGGTCGGTCTATGAGTTTTTTAAGTACTTCCTCACCAAGCGCAAGCTGGAGAATCGAACTCCATACTAAAGGAACAGGCTGTGGGGAGCGATGCCCGAATCTTATTTTTAGAAGGCTTTCCCTGCCTGCTTCCATCCCTGCCCTCAGACTGAGATTATTGTTGCACGGTGTTCGCAGGGTGGGCCTCCCGCCCGACGCCTTAGAGAGAGGAAAGGAGGGACAGCCGCTTACCGGGAGGCCAGGGGCAGTCCACAGGGACATCCGAGGTGGTGGTAGGTGGGGAGAGACCTTGGAAGGGGAACGAGAAATTGCTTTTTCTCTTCGTCCCCCAAGAGGTATGTAGCATTTCTGCTTCACTGGAGCAGTTTCCTGCCCTGGAATTGTAGATCACACAGAAGGGAAGAAAATGAGCAGTGACCGAAAACATTAAAGAAAAAGAAAATCATGTATATAAAAGTTGCCGTACACAGTCTAAAATAGATGGATAATGTTTATCCTTTATTTTTCTATGTAGAAGTTTTTGGATTTGTGTGTATGCCTGTGCGTGTGTATAAATAAGTGTTACAGCTGGGAATGTAAAGCTGTTTTTTTAAAAAAATAGAGGGCTGAAGTCTTCCATTGGGTTATATAAAAAGGGCACCGAAGTACTAAATTGCTGAAAGTGGCCTAAAATTGTGTTGAGCCCCCAAATGGAAGTTTCACTTGAATGTAAAATAATAAAATATAAAGTTTATATTTTGAATTTCTTTTTTCATGGGGGAAGAAAAGGTACGTTGAAAAACAGTCAAAATAATGATGTATTACTTCCAGCTACATTTCTTTTCTTTTACTCAATCAGTCACCTTCATGTGCCTTCTCCCTTTGCCTTCCCTAAAAACTCCAGGACTAAAGACCTGGCCCTGAGGCGTTTTCTCTTGCTGAATGCATGCACACACGCACACAGACCCCGCGGTAGGGTGGTTTTCACCTGACAACAGTGGTCCCCAGTAGAATTGGGATGGCTTGTCTTACACCTGCTGAGACCTCGCCTTCCCTTGCTGTGAGTGGCGTGAATATGTGCCCCTTGGGCCGGCACTTAGAAGCCTGCGACATGGCAACCTTTGGCTGCTTGTTGGGCAGGCCGTTGGGATGAATCCTGCCTTTATCCTAGGACTTATTTCTGCATCAACCTTTTCACTCAGACACATCGGGTATTCTGGTCTCTGTGTGTGATGATAAATCTCTGTTGCCTGTCCACTTTGAGGGATTGTGAAAACCGTGGCAACTGTGTCAATGGCATTTGTCTGTCCCCCTGCCCACCATGAATTCCCCCATCATGGAGCCTCTCACGCACGGTGACAGAGGCCAGGACCTCGTGCACGAGTCAGGATGCCTCTCTGGGCCACCTTCAGCCTCGCTGGGTCTGTGTCAGCTGAGCACGTGAGGCCTGACTGCCTTGTTTTCTGAAATGGTGCATCCTGCATCCGAGGCGAGCCGCATAATCACTCAGAGAAAATACAGGCTGATTTCCTCTCGCCCTGCCCTTTGATTGGCTGCCAGACCTCTCTCCCAGGCAAGACCAAATGGCTCTACCTTTTCCTTTCAGAGCCCTTCTTAAAAAATGAGCAGGAAGCACGTGTGTATGTTTTTATTCTGACGGGCCAGGTTCCTACCTTCGCCCTTTGCCCTTCACCCTTTGCCTCAGGCGTGGTCAGTGTTGTGCATCTCTCTCAGGCTCAGACCCGCTGCTTCAGCAGCTCTTACTTCCTGGGAAGAGCTCAGGCGGCACTGAGACAGTTTTCATCTTGGGACGCTGCCCACAGTGCTTCCGGGAGTAGTTTTCAGGTTGAGGGCAGGAGAGCGCCGCGTGGGCAGCTCCCACGTGTGCCCTATGAGCAGGGCCTTGCTCCTGGGCTGGGGGTTCAGCTGTTGACCTGTCCCACTTTGGAGCTAACCTTCCGGTGGACGCCAGTTGCCGCTCGCTTCTGTCCCACTCGGGGATGCAAAAAGCCATGGCGACCATCCTCTGTGGGCAGTGTTTACATCTCTCTAAACACGCCCTGCGTGACTGTTAAATTCTGCCAATGGAAGAAAAACTAGATCAAATAATTATCCAACCACCCCTTTTCATCCACTTAAGATATGCCGCACTGCTGCAAATACTGCTGCAAAATACTCCTTATTTCTTACGGAATTTTATATTCTCTGGTATTCAGAAAAGAAACGGTTCAGTTCTCTGGGAAAACTCCTTTGGGTCGGGGGATGCGAGGAGGAGAGGAGGAAGGGACTTGGGAGCTGGGTGGGCGGGGGCGGGCTCTCCTCACTGTGCGCTGCGCAGAGGGATCGGCTGGGAAAGGGGGTGCCCCCTGTCCTGCCCGCCTGCGGGGTCTTCTTGAGGCTGGATGAGCGATGGAGCTGAGAAAGCTTTGAAAGTCCTGAAGCACTAAGCAAATTTAAGTGGTCGTTAATTTTGTGGCAATTGAGGCCCCAGCTCCCTTGCCCTGAGATTCAACCTCTTGTAGATCATAGTTTTACTTTTATATTAGAGTAAAGAATTGGTTTTGTTCCAAAGGGGATAAATCATCAATCCGTGACTGTTTTTTCTTAACTTTGGATTGAATCTAGCTCTTGGCTGGCCTACATCCTTTCTGGGTGGTTTCTGTTTCTATTTCTTTTTTCTTTGATGCTGATGTCTTATTCCAAGGGCTGTCCTTCGAAGTCCCCCAGAGCTGCATCTGCAGCACACTGTTATGCCAATAAGATTTTGTTTGACTTGATTGAAGGATGGCTGTGCCTGTTAAATTCGAATGTACCACTGCTTCCTTCCGGCCAGCCACACAATGTGTAAGGGTGAGCAAGTGTGGTTTCTTAAATGCCTGTATGGAATATCATTGTTTCTGTCTCTCAGTTGTTGCCAGCGCTTTGAACAAGGGGAGAAATGTGTGTTCATGTGTGGGATGTTCCGACATGCTGCTACAACTGTGACACTGGAGCTAGAGAAAATAAAGCCTTGGTCTTTGAACCGCTGCGGGCTCTGTGGTGGGAATGTTGAATAAGAGGAGAGTGGATGGAGAGAAGGAAGCTACTCCATGGGGCTTGTGCCTGTTCTGGTCTCGCACGTTAGGGACCAGGATCTACAGCTTCGATAGAAAGTGCCCTTTCAGCCCTCTTGGAAATGGAAGCAGACCGCTGTGTCAGCCAGCCCGGAGACGGCCACGTCGTCATGCCAGGGCAGGGCTGGGAGCCGCCTCTGGCTTTGCTCGCCATGCCGGGGAGGGTGGCAGCTTTCTCTCCTGATGTGAGAGCATGAGCGTGACAGGGTGCAGGTGCATGGTGTACACAGCCCTGGTACATGGATGCTCAGGACTGTTTTCTTTCTCACACACACACTAATCCCTTTGTGGAGGTTCAGTCAGGGTCCCTCTACATGGAAGACCCCAAGGGTGACCAGGATCTACGCATACATCCTAAAGGTCACAGCTTAAGCCAGAGAACTAAACCTCTGGAGTTAGGAGTGAGGGTGACGGGTGGTCACAGACCCCTTTGAGGAGCCAGGAATAACTCGATTCTTCACACGGTTTTGGAGGTCAGCTTGCCTACTTTAACCACTAAAGACCTCAGCGAGGGTAGGGAATCAGAATCGAAGTCAGCCCTGAGAACCAGCCCTGGGCAAGGGTGCTGGCAGCTGGAAAGGGGACACTGATCAGAGGGTGGAGAAGGCTAGAGATAAGCTTCCTGCTTTGTAGTTGTACCGAAGGCCACCCCTGTGCTTCTCGAAGCTGTCTTGCAGCTCTGGGTTGCTTCCTCTCCTCGGGGTGGGTGGCAGTCTGGGAGGGTCCGCTCTCAGTGCACAGGCGTCCATTCTGCACATCCTCCTCCTCTCCCTGACCCATGAAGTCAAGCTGCCAGCAAACCTGGAGTGCCTCCCGAGAGCAGAGCACCGTGCCTGGCGCTGTTAGAAAAGAGCCAAGTGTAAGATGTGGTTCCCGCCCTCTCGGGCCTGACAGCCTAAGAAAAGAATCTAAGGGAAGACACGGCTTCCTTAATGCGACCAAATCTAGATCTGCCAGGACAGCAGTGGAAGGTGCCTTGGAAGAAAAGCGGTAAGGTGATGCCATTAGGCCAAGCTTCATGAGATACTCACTTGTCCTGCTTGTTCGTGGTGCTGTCCCCACTGGTGGTGTGCGGGGGCTGAGGGTGCACATCTCTTCCCGGCTTCACATTCAGGAATGTCATCTGGCTAGCTTGAAATCAGCAAAGGTAGGAATATTTACACTGCAGAAATAGACAAGTGCTATAAATCAGGGCTGTTACTTTTCATAGAGCCAACTTACCAGTCCACCACTGCTGGCACATGGCACTGTGCTTACTTTGTGGTAGGTGTTGGGTAAAGGTTTGCTGATAGATGTGCTGGGTAAGCCTTTTGTCATCAACCTGGCGTCCCCTGTAGTGCTGGCCCTCCTAGTTCCTCCTCGTGGCAGGAACCATCTTCCTCACTTAGAAGCTGTCTGCGGTACATCCACACTCCTCAAATTCCAGCCTAGAAAAGCCATGAAAGGAAGGGGTTCCCTTTTCCCCAGGGCCAAGGTCTCCTTTCTGTCTGAGTTCCCTGAGACTTCTACGGGATCAGCCATCCTTTCCGGGAGAGACTCCATTCCTACCCAGAAGAGTGGCCTTAATGGGACAAACATCTCAGAGAAGAATGCAATAAGCCCTGAGTTGTACAAGAGAGAGTACAACCGCTGGGAGGGAGCAGAGGTGTGCTAGTACTGCTTACAGGGAAATAGTTGTCTCTGGTCTAAGGCAGGAGTTAGTTTCTCCCTAACTGCAATTAGGGAGAAAAGCTTGGTTTGCAGCCAGAAGGGCATTGTAGGAGATGCCCTAGCCGTAAGCTGCAAATGAGAGCTTTGACTGCTGTCTTAAGCAGTTTGACCTTTTAAACAGTAGGTAAAGGGGAATCATTAAGGGTCTTTGAGCAAAGGACATCATGATTGGAGCTCAGCTTTAGGAAGAGCCATTTGGCAGAAGTGGACGGAACAGAGTGGAGAAGGAATACCCAGGAAGCTAGGAGATGGTCAGTTCGGTATAAGGCTAGGGAGACTGGAATAGAAGGAGTCCAACTGATGAGAGTGTAGAAGTGGGATCAACAGCGTTTGGGGGGGCGCTTGACTGCAGGGCAAAACGAGAATGGGCTGTCTGAGAGAAGTGTTGGTGTTAGGAGGAAGACCTGGCTCGCCGGCAGAGCAGGTGGTGGCGGAGAAGATGCCTCATCTCTGAATCCATCAGTCTCTCCTTAGTCCTCATTCTCCTCCAGCAGGCACGATGCTGGAGCTCTGAGCTCTTGCCTAAAAGCTGCCTCAATAGCTCCCCTCTCTTGGCTTCCATTGTCCTGCTCTCCCTCCGGCTGCTCACTTTGACTACCTCCTCTGGCTCTGCCCACCAGCCTCAGTTCCTTTCTGGGCCACCTAAGAATGGCTGCGTGGGAAAGTTCTGCCTTTAGACTTCCTGTGTGTCCACCCGCTCTTGGCACTGATCTGCCTTCACGACTTCAACTGGCCCCTGTGGAAAGATGATTCCAAGTTGTGGGATGTAGCACCCTGACTCCGCTCCTGAGCTCCAGATCGAAATGGCCAGGTGCCTGCTGATCTCAGACATCTCAACTCTTGTCCCGCCAACCCCAAAGCCTGCTTCTGCTGCCAGAGGCTTACCATGTTATGCACTTGCTCAGAACCTTGAGGGCTCCTCATCGTTTTT